TTCTTTACATCTCAAACTATTTGGTTGATGTCCTTTTGGGGGCTCTGCATGATCCTGTCCTTAGCGTATTGAATGAATTAGAATATGACGTCATTGTCTGAACGGGATCCTTTTACTTTTCTAATTCAGTCTATTTTCTTGGTATTTACAGTATTTTTAAGTTTGTGTTCGTCAATTCGTTTATATCCTAGCACCGTAAGATATCCAAAGTCAGCTCATGCTTAGTGAAACTTCTCACCTGGCTTTGAATTTTGCAAGGCTCAAATGCGTTGTTCACGAAGGGACTCTCCCGTTGCTAGGGGCGTATCCGTCCGACCTTTGAAGTCGTGGCAGTGCACAATCTCTTACGTTTCAGCCGCCATTTTCTATACTTCATTAAATCCTCGAAGATACTGACGTATAGAGGAGCAGTGGATATTCGTTCAAGTATCCCAACCGCTTGTTTGCAGCGTCAAACTTATCAAGATATTTCTCACTTCAACTTGAATGTTAAGGTAGGAATTACAGCTCTTTAATTCCTAAGCTAACCAGTAAATTTAATACAACTTTGACCGAGGTTTATCTAACGTACTATTGTACTCAAACGGAAAAAATTCGAACACTACCACTCATGCAAGGCGCATTTCCTAGTTAATTATCACCATTTTGTATTCATTCTCGAGTCGTCCTTGAGATCAACCAATTGCTTGTTTGCGAAGAATTCACATTACTATACACGCGATTTGAGATTAACGGCAGAGTACGCTTCCTATGGCTTCATGTTATGATCATTCTAATCGAGTAACCAGGTGAGGACGAAACTAAGATCCAAAAGTGGTTTATTTAGAACGGAAACTATGCGTTTGGTGGTGACAATACGCTATTTGAAATAAAATGCAGAGAGGACTCGATCTTTTGAATATTATCCTCCAATCTCTCTACTAATGAACCCACAATGGAAAATTGGAGGTGCAGTGACTGTAGTGAATGAACAGAAATTGTAGAAGCAAGGCTTAGTTAACAAGAGACGAACATTTGTAGTAGTTTCGTGTTTACTTAATGAAAGCAAACTTTGTATCAGTTTCGATTTCGTTTTAGATTGATGATTTGTTTATAGTTTTACGCGAATTTCATCGTTACAAGTGAGCGCCACCTTAAATTTCTGTGTGTCGGTTGATTTTTACAACGAATAAGCTATCAAAGCTGGCACTTGCCTCGTTTGGAAAACGGGAAGGTTTGTACAAATCCATTTCGTCAAGCATTTACTTTTAGAGATAAATAAACGTAAAAGTTCAATGTTAGTCACTGAGAATGCAACAGTATTAAAATTATTTTTATTTTAAAACCACCAGGAACCTCTTATTTGTTTGTGCGTAGTTGCTGTAATTTATGTTAAATGTGGCTTATTTGCATGATTGAAATCATGATGTGCTCATGACATGTGCCTTCAAGCGTGACCTGGATTAGACAATCACGCTATTTTACTTCATATCACTCGAATAAACACGGCAGCGATTAAAAGTCTTCAAAGCGTGAGAATATAATCAGAAGCTCTTCTGTTCGATAGTTAATGTTAAAACGAGGAATTGTCGCCGATCTACTCTCACACAGTACAGTGTTGCACTACTCTATTTGCTCGAATCGGTAGCTTCGAATTCTCCAGAGCAGCTACGTGAGTTCAAAGTTAAGACTCCGGAAAGGTATAAAATTCTTTGAAGCGTTTCCAGAACTAGAAGAAGTCCTCGGTGGTTCAAAGACATACGCGTAACTGTCACAAAGGCGAAATATGTGGATGAAATAGAGCACCAAGAGGGTAAATGATAATTTGAGATGGGAAATCTTGATTAAGTAAAAGCTAACTTCCCTCCCCCCCCCACCCCTTAAGCAAAAGGTTATCTGGCATTTTCCCTGCGCGATCAGACGGCTTCGTCAACTGTGACATAAGCTGTTTTTTATTTTGTTTTGTTTTGTTTTGTCTTCGTCACATTCAAATGATTTTATTCACTAGAGCAGCCTCCAGAAGGGCATTACACGCTAAAAAGTACTGTTATGTGTTTCACATTGAAAACTATTAAAATCATTGTGAAGCTGGATCACTTAGTCAAACAATAACCGCGCTATCAGGCAACGGAAGAATCTCCATACAATGAAATATTGAATCGATCCATATCTATTTGTCAACTATGTCGTTTGCTTCGTGTGACGATGTTATAGTAGTCAATGGATCTTAAGATGTATGAACTTGTACCTGCCTCATTTGTTTAACTTCCTTAATACCGCATTGGCCAAAATCCCCCCATTATTTGCAGTCTGAGTGTGGTATGAGTAACTTGGCCTTTAACGTTTGATGCAATCATGATTCCATCCTCTATGTGTTACTAAATGTCGGGCTGAAACTGTGGAATAATGATAACCTAATCATACTGATAACTGTCCTCAAGTAGTGACTCATCCCTCAGTTTTTATTTGTTTCTAAATGATGGAAACTTTCCGCCTACACTTCGTTAGTTTTAAACCCACAGTACCTCTGTTACTGATATGCTATGGATATGAACTCAGGACCAATGTAAATACGCTTAAAGAGAGCAGAGACGTGGCTTTCCAGGGTTCACAGGGCATTGTTCCCGTAAACTTGAAAACATATTTTTACCTGCATTTTCAGTATTTTACCTCGAAACGAAGTTTCGAAAACATCAACCATTTAGGAGCCAAACTCAGCACAAACTGCTAACTCTGTTCGTGCCCATGACGCTTGACTGCTCTCCACTCACAGGGATTAAGCCCACTGTACAATTTGTGACAGAGCATATTCCTGGCTTCCATTCATGGTCTTTGGATGTGTTTGTGATCGTTTATCGTCTATTAATCTCATCAAATCAAACTAGACCGCCTGCGATTGCCATGATGTTTTTATTCAATTGGCAACTCACGCGAATCTCCGCTTCAGGAATTTTCACTATGCCAACCTAATCGTTGCAATCAGGTAGGCAAAGCAACATACAAGAAAACACGTAAAGGCCTCAATTTACGGTGAGATGGAGCGATAAATGAATTTAGTAAGCAGTACATGGCAATTGCTTTCTTGCAGTCTTCAAATTACGAGACACGCGATTTGAGATGAGCGGTAGAGTACGCTTCTTATGGCTTCTTATGGCTTCTTGTGGCTTCATGGATCATTTGAATCGAGTAACTAGCTATAGGTGAAGACGAAAGTAAGATCCAAGAGTTGTTTGTTTGGAAAAGAAACTATGCGCTTTCGTGGTATCATTACGCTATTTGAAACAAAAAGCACAGAGGACTCGATCTTTTGAATATGAACCTCCAATCTCTCCATATATTGAACACAAAATGGAAATTTGGAGGTGCAGTGACTGTAGCGAGTGAACAGAAATTGAAAAAGCAAAGTTCAGTTAACAGAAAACGAAAATTTGTTGTAGTTTCGTGTCTACTTAGTAAAAGCAAATATCAGTTTCGATTTCGTTTTGGATTGAGGATTTGTTAATAGTTTCAACTCATTCGATTTGAAATTGCTGTGCAATTCTAGGGAGTTACTACATGCATTCTAGCTACCTCAAATTTCACGGTTGATTTTACAACGAATATGCTATCGGAGTTGGTACTTGACAGATTTGGAAAACAGGAGGGTTTGTACAAATCCATTTCGTTAAGCTTTGTACTTTTAGAGATAACTGAACGTAAAATTTTAATGTCAGCCACTGAGAATGCAACGGTATTGAAATTATCTTTACTTTAAAACCTCTTATTTGTTTGTGCCTAGTTGCTGCAATATATGTGGCTTATTTGCATAATTGAAATCATGATGTGCTCACGACATGTGCCTTCAGGCGTGACTTGGATTGGACAATCACGCTATTTTGCTTCATATCACTCGAGTAAACAGGGCAACAATCAAAGGTCTTCAAAGCGTCAGAATATAATCAGGAGCTCATCTGTTCAATACTCAATGTTAAAACGAGGAATTGTTGCCGATCTACTCTCACACAGTATGGTGTCGTACTACTGTATATGCTCGAATCGGTAGCTTCGAATCCTCCAGAGCAGCTATGCGTGTTCAAAGTTAAGACTCCGGAAAGGTACACAAATTTTGGAGCGTTTCCATAACAAGAAGAAGTCCTCGGTGGCTCAAACATACACTCCTAACCGTCACAAAGGCAAAAAATGTGAATGAAACGAGCTCCAAGAGGTTAAATGATAATAAGAGTGGGAAATCTTGATGAAGTAAAAGCTAACTTTCCCCCCAAGCAAAAAGTTATGGGCCATTTCCTTGTGCGGTCAGAGGGCTTTGTTTCACTCAAGCTCCTCACGCTATACTGTGACAACTCTGACATAAACTGTTTTTGGTTTTGTTTTGTTTTGTTTTTGTCATATTCTAATCATTTTATTCACTACAGCAGCCCCTAGATGGGTATCACACGCTAAAAAGCAGTGTTCTGTGTTTCAAGTTGAAAACAATTAAAATCATTGTGAAGCTGGATCACTTGGTCATACAATAACCGCGCTATCAGGCAACAGAAGAATTTCCATACAATAAAATATTTAATAGATCCATATCTATTTGCCATGAATTGACTACGTCGTTTCTTTGTGTGACGATGTTATTGAAGTCGATGGATCTTAAGATGTGTGAACCTGTAATTGTCTCGTTTGTTTAACGTCATTTACACTACATTGGCCAAAATCCCTCCTTTACTAATTTGTAGTCTGAGTGTGATATGAATAACTTGGCCTTTAAAGTTTGATGCAATCATGATTCAATCCTCTTTGTGCTACTAAATCTGGGGCTGAGACTGTAGAATAATGATAACTTAATCAATTTGGTAACTGTCCTCAAGCAGTGACTTATCCCTCAATTTTTATTTGTTTCCAAATGATGGAAACTTTTTGCCTACATTTCTTTAGTTAAAACCCACGATACCTTTGTTACTAATATGCTTTTTTTAAAATTATGTATAATTTGCAGATCATATCCAGAGTTCCTTGAGCAGAAAAAATTTGTTACTATGGATGTCCTCGGTAACGACAAAAGATGGCTTGTGACTCTTGTTACCTCAAATAAGGTCGTAGCTCCAGTTTTACAGGATATCGTGAAACAAGGAATGGACAAGCTGTATGCTTTGCTAAATAATTACCTTAATGGCTTACCAACACCTTATAGTCTACAAACACTGACCTATGCAGAGGTATGCCATCTAGCAGCCACGCCAAGTCCTGCTTCTTCGCTTAGAGGCTTAAATTTCGGAAATATTAACAACAATTCTAGTGTTCATGGAAAGACCAAAACGGCCAAAACGGCCTATAACTACAATGTAAACAGCTCAGTTGATCTTGCCAAGCTTTATCTCCCAGACTACCTGGCAGTATTCTCGGCATTCGACAAATCTATGGATTTGAGTGCCGCTCTTAGACTATTGGGATGTAGGAAGTATCCCATACAAATATTCGTTTCTTCCGATCCTTTGCACGATATTCAGCCTTTGGCGGATGATGTTAGAGAGAATGTCAGGAATCGGGGAAGTCATTTTAAAGAGAGTGACTGGACCCAAATCCTCTTTGACCAGTGCTTTGACAAGTTAGAGGCTCTGCTCCAATATCTGCCACTGCTTCCCGATAAGAAAAAGGAGCTTTTGGATGAACTTTCTGCATGGAAAACAGAAGGTACTAGAAATGTCTCAAGCTGTGTAATGTAACTATTCAAGGAATAGCTTTAGTTTAATATAGCAATTCTCTAGGTTGGATGTTCACTCAAGATCAATGTAAATACGTTTAAAGAGAGCAAAGACGCGGCTTTCCAGGGTTCACAGGACATTCTTTCCGGAAATTTGAAAACATATGTTTTTGGCTGCATTTTCAGTATTTTACCTTTAAACGAAGCTTCGAAAACATTAACCACTTAGGAGCCAAACTCTGCGTAAACTCCTAACCCTGTTCGTGCTCATGACGCTTGACTGCTTTTCGCTCACAGGAATTAAGCCCACTATATAATCTGTGGCAGGGCATATTCCTGACTTTCATTCATGGCCCTTTGAATATGTTTGTGATCGTTTGTCTTTTATTATTCTCATCAAATTAAATTAGACTACCTGCCATTGCCATGATGTTTTCATTCCCTTGGCAACTCACGCGAAACTCCGCTTCAGGGGTTTTCCTTGTGCCAACCTGGTCGTTGCAATCAAGTAAGCACAACAACATACTCAGAGGAGCCATCTTCAGTAATATGAAGTAGAAACTGTCTTACTTATTACTCAAATGCCGTATCTACAGCGACAAATTATTTCCTCTCACCAGTTACTTAATTTAATCTCTGCCTTACAAAACAGTCATCATTATTATCATCATCGACATCAGAGTTGACATTATTATTATTATTATTATCATCATCATTACCATCATTTAATGTACATTCATCACTTTTAGGGTTCAAGCGGATTGTTGACAATGACGTCAAAGATCTACTGGAAAAATTCCAAAACGTCAAACTTGCTTCAATTAATGACAAACTGGACGACATGCCAACTAGGGAGGAGAACGAAAGAGTGTTAGAAAAGCTGTTTTTCTTTCACACCAGTATGATGGACAGATTAGATAGAATGGAATCCTTTCTTCAAACCTTACTAGAAAGTAAGTCTAAAAACAACGACTTCTTGCAATCTGTAAAATCCCAGTGAAAAATAATGTTGTAAGAGAGGACTCTTCCGGCCGCTAACAATTTCACCCACAGAAGCGCGTAAATTTTCCATTAATACTCGCGAGCGAATCGGGGACCACATAGTTAATTAGATACAGAGAGTTAAATTGTTATTGTTGTGTTGCAAAAGTGTGCAGTTTTGCTCATTGGACAAGCCAGTACTGTCGACGCGCACAGAGTTAACTGTCCTAATTGTTGTATAATTGTTTTTTAATTTATTTTACCTTTAAATGCGAACAGAAAAGTACAAGTATAGAAAGTCACCGACCATACTTCGGTTATTTAAAAAACCAAACGTCTTTTTCATTAACCCGGTTGCATTTTGTTACATTATGCAGGCATTAGTGTCAGTGCTCTAAATCAAGAAGGTAGCAAGAGAGTGCACTCTACAGAATCAAGCGTCTTATCTACAGAAGCCACTTTCAAAGAAACCCGCCAAATGAGGGAAAAGGTAACATAATATAATAACGGATAGTTTCCAGTCAAAGGCCTAGACATTAGACAAAAACATAATTTATTTACTGGAGTCGGGTTTGCCAAGCTTGGAGCTAGTGTCGATAAAAAATCAGCCTTGTATTAGCTACGAAGTGCAGTAACACGAGGATAGAAATAATGATTAAGCACGGTTTTAAATCACCTGAAAGAAACAAAGCAAGAGGACAGTTAGACTCTGACGAAGAGTTCCAGGAAGGTTATCGAACGACAGTCCCTACTTCCTTCAACAGTCCTTCTCCTGGGAAAAACTACACAATCCAATAATACCTTTGGGCTCAAACCATTACTGAAGAAAAATTAACTTGCTATGCAATTTTTCATCGAATGGGGGACCCATACGTAAAGTAGGACTTTAAGTAATATGCTATACCTGTAACGTGTAAATGTTTTCTTAAAAAAGGACATCTTATTTGGAATGCGTTGACTTTAAAATTGCCTTTCTTCCCCCAGGACAAAAACCCAGAATCGACGTGTAAGCTTCGAGCGAAAATTGCCAAAGTAAGTCAAGTACTAAATTGTGTGACAGTTTTATGATGTAGTGTATGCATTAACATTGAAGACACATTGTGGTTAAATAAGAGGACCAGTTCGATGTTATGTCTGTTATCCTTTATGCGAATATCTCAGAAAAGTTAATTCCGTCTTTTTGGATTTGACATATCCCGGACCAGGAGCCAAGCTCTCTGTCCTGTAGTTTTCTCCTTGATCTGGGAAGTGGTGATGATCAGCGGTTTTATGCGTACAGCTTACAGTGAACAGAATTCGAAGAGGTTTCAGTTTTTTCTGGTTTTCCACTTGTTTTTTTCTTTTAAAGTGGAGCGAAAGCAAGCACGAGGCGATTGTCTAAGCCAAGTCATTTTTGGGAGAAGGACAAAATAATGCTTCATGTATTTGTTCCATTTGAGTTTGTTTTTTCTTTTTTCGTTTTCCATGCCTTCGCGTTATTCTTTTTGCTCCCTACTTCGACGTAATCTTTGGGGAGAAAATTTCTTCCAAACAATAGTTTTCAATTTTCATCAAAATTGGTCTCAAAATTCCACTCCGATCAAATCCACTTCCTCTCTGTAATATGCTTATGTGAGTAATACTTAATATTTGGGAGAGGGGAGGGGGGGGGTGGCGCAGTGTTGAGAGCGCTCGCCTTACACCACCGTGGCCTGTGTTCGATTCACGGACCTAGTGTCACGCGTAGGTTGAGTTTTTCGTTGGTTCTCTTCCTTGCTCCGCAGGGTTTTTCTCCGGGTCCTCCGGGTTTCCTCCCTCTACAAAAACCAACATTTTGAATCTCAATCCAACCTGGAAACAGTGGACAAGAAGAGTCAACTCATGGAATGTCCACTGCTAAGTTATTTAATCCCATCATTATCATTATTGTTGCTATTTTTGTATTTCCAATTCTTCCGATTTGTTATGTTCTCGCACGCACTCCTCTTTCTATCCTTCAAATTCTTGAATTTTTACAGACTCTTCGCTTCTGTACTTGTGCTTCGTTTCGGATAGCCCTATTAATAATAAAGATTAGTTTGTGAGGGTATTCTCTGTGTAATGGTGCATCCACGCTGAACCTTATTATTATTATTACTATTATTATTATCATTATCATCATTATTACCATTATAAGTGTCTTACTAGCAATATGCTAAAAAGCAGTCCTATTTTTACAGTTGTCAAGAAGAACTCTACACAAAGCTGCTATCAGCGGTCGATGTGACGCTGTCAAATTACTTCTTGAAATTGGTGAAGATGTGGACCAGACGGATGAGGTTTCTAGCTTGATTTTGCGTTTAGATGTGTCTTTTCTTATTATAAATTGATCGGTATTTGACCTTTGTCCAACGATTTGTTTCATTTTGCAGTTTAATTTAACGCCTCTTCACCTTGCCGCATGGTATGGGCAACGAGCTGTTGTTGAACTCTTGTTACAGCACGGTGCAAATGTCAATGCTGTAGATAGGGTAAGTTGGTGACCACTCGTGTTTCTGTTTTGGCAATACGTCAGATATATAGTATTGATAAAAAATTCCAGGCATGCAAAGACTTTCACAAGCTCTTGAAACCTTTCTTTAGTCAATTGTATCTCATGTCCAGGCATACTCATCTCATTGAGTGAGTGGCAGTTACTCTAATATTTTGACCTTTGCACAATTTTTTTCCTTTCAGTTTCAAAAAACAGCGCTACAAAAAGCTGAACGCAACAATCATCGATCCATTATTGAGCTGCTTCTGAGGAATAACGCGAGTCCCACTTACAACCAACCGGTATGGTGAAAACTGCATTCTTCTTTCACGTTTTGAAACTGCTTCTAAAACATTTTTCCACACACAAAGGAACATTAGGATAATTCAATAAGATTTAGCAAACGTTTCTTTTCATTACAGTTGTTTAGGGTTTTGGTTTTTTTTTTTTTTGATAACCTATTCACTATAATCTAATTTATATTACAGCCTAGTCTACTGTCCCTTTCAAAAAAAGCGTTTTTCAATGTAGATGCACGATCCGGCTTCAATCGACTGCAGGCGGCTGTATTTCAAGGCGACTATGACACGTTTTGGAACACTTATAACGTCTGCCCTGGGAATTTTGTCCAAGAAATGAATTTACAAAAAACAGGAAGTCAAGCAAAGGCATTTCCTGGAAAAACTGCGTTAGAGATTCTCTTGGCTCTCCAAGATAAAGGAGAAGAAAATGTTAAAATAGAAGAACTGTATAAAATGGAAGTTGAGAAGATCGATACATTAACTGAGCTGCACTTGTGTAAAGACAACAATGATGTAGAGAAGGCTGTCGAGATTGTTCTAAACGAGGGTGTAGATATAAACATACCAGG